AATCAAGTGCACAGCCCAATGACGAACAAATTTTTAACCAAATCCTTTAATTTGGTCAGTTAACACGTGACTGCAGCTTATATTCATTTATTCAACGACTTTGAAGTTGTTGGTAAAGCTGTTCACTTTTAGGGCCAGCTTGCTGCTGATCTCTGCGTTTGTTTCTCTGTTTTCTATCCTGTTTTACAGGAAAGAAGGATTAAGCAAATCGCAAATCTTACAGGAGAACATCCCAAATCCCTCGAATTGACCACCGTTACTAGGAACCTGATGCGCAAAAATACATAGCTGCGCGAGATAAATGATTATATGTTCGTATATTAGAAAATAACCAAGACTACCAACACTCCCCAGGCAATCGATGTGAAGGTTTGATATCAGTGATATTGTTAGGACTGCCGTGTAAACCTACGGCAGCTATGCCAAGCACTTTGGTCCTGAGCTGCATCCCTTTAGTTAACACTCACTGCCTCGTCGACTCAACTGTTTTTCCTTCTATTTTTCTCCTACTATTTTTTCCTAAGTTGCACGCTTTCTCGCGAGTACCATTTATTGATATATGACGTCCTAGGCCAGTAACATATCCTACACATTCGATCCCACCTTTCTGGCGGTCACAAGCTGCATCCTGTACACTGCCCATTTCAAAAAGAGTGACACGTATTTGTACATCTACGAAGATCTACTCCACGTGTCCCCTCCTTCATTCTCTCTCTTCTTCGCAGTTAATGCTCCCTCTTCTGCTTTTGTCAGTGACGATATCGCTTCTTGATGTTATTGCCTTCAACACACCGCTACTCAACCAATGGGCATGGCCTTTTTGCAGGCTTGATATTTTAAGAACGGCAATAATACTGTGGTGCTTGCTTTAAATACACGCAAGCCATGGCTCAGCATTTATAATGTACAACGAGCAAAAGATAGCGCGCAGGAGAAGCAAACAGCAATCCAGAATCGCGCAGCAGATTGACCTATGATCTGTCCCGCCCTTTGTGATGAGTATTTAAGCCTGCAAATTTGTTGTAAAGCATTCAGTGTTCCGTGCTCATCGTCCAGTGTTCAGTATTCGTCGTTCAGTGTCCCGCGCCCCGTGTTCCGTGCTTGGCGTCCAGCGTTCAGTTGCAGCAGTGTGTTGCTGCACTCCAGTGATTAGCATTCTTCATCTGCAGCGGCTGTCGCTGTAATCGTCCGACTTGATCCCGTCGCCCCAAGTACTGAACTGTAAACTTGTACTAGTGTTGATAAAGTTCGTTTATTTACTCCAGTCTCTCCACTAAGCGCATACAGCACATTGACGCTCATCCAAGACTCGAACGAAGCTCGTCGTACCCCCTGTCCGAATAATCTGCGGAAAATTCGTCCTCGTATCGTCTCCTTGTCGTAACAATAACGCCTATTTATTATTCCCCGTCCAAAACTGACTGTCAACTTCTTCCACATCAACGCCTTAACCTTTGGCCTGGCGATGGAATACTAGCACTTTGCGCACCGTCATTTTTGGTGCGCACATTTTCAAGTCCAATTCCGTCCTTCGTGCCTTAATTTCCTGAAGCATTTTTCAGCTCACGAGGTCTGCTTTAGATGAAGCTATATTGCTTACAAAGCGCAAGTAATTTAATTTCCACCGCATTATAGCCATATAAAAAGAAGATGGGGTACCACGGTGGGGAATATGCAGAGGATTTTCCGTAACTTTTTTCTCGGGACTGATGACTAGTACTGGGCTAAAAATCAGGAATAGTCTAACCGGGTATTTCAAGAGGACTTTGTAAATCAACGGGCGTTGTTTCAGATTTCTCGACCGAATCACGAATCGGTCGTGTTGCCCGTTTTGCTTGGCTTGATTTAATTTCTCCCTTCATGTAGTACGGATTGTTTTCAATTTCAGCTTGTCGACGCTTTAACCGCTGCAAAAATCAGTTATGAAACAAGCACTGACTTTTTCAAGACTGCAAAATGCAATGTACCAAAATAAACTTCAACAGTTCCCATTTTCAGCTAGGCAAACAATGCAACAGCTAGGGGATGCTTTACAATATTTAGCAACTGTTGGCCAATATTTGCCCAATTCTGCTACACCAACCTAATCTGCAATTCCAGACGGAGCTGCTCATGGATACTGACACAAATCTAAGTTCTAGAGCTCGAAA